TGGGTGCCTGGCTTTCAACCGAAGAATTCAGTGTGAAGGTCATACTGTTTTAGTACTTCTTCATAGTCCTTTGCTAGTTGTGATTTTATTTTTAGGTTTGTAATAATCTGATGTGGGTATTTTTCTTGCGTATATATTTAGGTGCTGCCAACAATTGTGAAACTATTTGCGTCCAATGACCGAGCTATTCGAGTTGGTCTCTTGCAACATGTCGATCAGTTTGGAGAATCATTAACAGCACAAGTTGTTGATGAGCAAGTATGTATTCAACAATTAATCATTTTTTTAACGATCAAACAAATTCTAGCTGGATTCTATTGTCAACCCTGTTAGTCTTGCATCTGTTCATGTCTAGTTTGTAGATTCTAAATTTGCCTGTGATGCTTGAAATTAGGTTTACCCCCACGTTGCTACTGGGTTCTCTGACACATCTGCTTTTCTCCGGGAACTGACTCTTAAGTCAATGCTCGTTCTAGCTCCCAAGGTTAGTGCACCCAGTTTTATGGTTGTGTGGTTCCTGCTTTGGGTAATTTATATTATAAGTTACTTGCTGTTCCTGTGAGTTACTTAGGGCAATCAGTGTTTGTGAGTTACTTGCTGTTCCCTGTGAAAGATTTTCTTGTTATTTTAATTTACTTAATATTATTTTAAAGAAAATATGTCAACCTTTGCTCCCACATAAAATATAGCTCGCACAATTCTTTGTTTCTCTCCCTCGAGGGTTGTTGGAATTGGAATTTGGAAAATTTGGTGTTAATATTTTCCGAATATTTATAAGCAGGTTTTGTTGCAAAATTTTTTTTGGCAGATGTTCAAGTTCAGACACGGGACACCAACCATGGCCCTTTAACATGGAAGTCTGGTGGTTGTGCATCTCTAATGTTTAGTTAGAAGGGGCTAATAGTATTTGGTTTGCTTAGGGATTGAAAGGGAGGAAGCGAGAATAGATAGAACAATAACATACTAAATGAAATCTAGAGGTGGGATCACCAAACTTATTTGCCAGCTTTATATTTTAGTATTGATTTTTTAAGGGGAAATTGTATTTGGTCTGTTTTGGCTTCGAATGATGGAGGAAGATAGAACAAAAAACATACTTCATGAGATATAGAGTTGGAGTTGTGGAACAATTTTCAGCAATGTTTTTATTTAAACAGCGTAAGCCCAAGCTCAATCTTTCATGGGCTTTTGATGAATTGCTGTGTTTTCCATTGTAATGAATGTTTTTCGGTGACAATTTTATGTACTTATCCATTTAATGTGTCCATCTTGATCTTCTTCTTGGTGGATAATAATAGTCTTTGTTTTAGTTTAAGATGTGATTCTATCCCTGTGAAGTGTCGTATTATGTGATTGTTCTCATCTAATGGGTTTGTCTATCTACTTTGTAGCTTTCTCAACGTACCATTTCAGGGTCTTTGTTGAAGTATCTTTCAAAGTTACAGGTATGGTATTAACTTCTGAATTGACGCCCCTGATTTAACTATTAAAATGAATGTTCATAGTGTTGATTTTCACATTGTGTTTCTTCATGTTGTTAATTGTTTCTGTAGATTTTCTTTTGTGAGTTTATGTGTTTGGAACATAGAATTTAGCCACGATTTGTCTCTAATTTTGCATTCCTTTACCATTTAACTTATCTCTGTCTTGCAGGTTGATGAAGAACCAGCAATTAGAACAAACACCACTATATTGCTGGGGAACATTGCAACCCACCTGAATGATGGGGTTAGTATCATCCATTTGCCACACCTACTGTTTCATATGCATACTTTCTATTTTTTTTGTTCTTCCCTTAAGTGGTAGATGGGTTCTATGGTCATTTGGTAATGATTTGTGAACATATATTGATAAAATATTTCTGTCTTAAGCTGATGGTGCTCATATTTAAATGCAGACAAGGAAAAGAGTTTTGATTAATGCATTTACTGTCCGTGCATTACGTGATACTTTCTCACCTGCCCGAGGAGCAGGTATTAGAATTTTCTCTTTATCCATCTATTTTTTTAGCCAGGTTCTTTTTTAATAATGTTTTGGGGTTTTGACATGTGTGCTTTAAATTTGTCCTTACCTTCATTTTCCTACATTGGTCAACTCTTCAATTTTATGACATGTAAAAAAATTATTCTGTCAGGTATTATGGCTTTATGCGCCACCAGTTCTTATTATGACAGCACTGAGATTGCAACTCGGATTCTCCCAAATATTGTTGTTCTTACCATTGATCCGGACAAGTGAGTATGCTGCAGATGATTTCTACATCTCTCTGTATTTTATAAAAGATGCTTAGCATTTATGTGATTTTCTACGGTGACATGTTCTGTGGCATGCTAACGGTCACCTGTTCTACCGTATTTTAATCTGCCCTTGATCTGGTCAATTCCTACAATTTAAATAGGGCCGTGTCATTGTTCCTAGCAGGAAGTAACATCATGTTTCTGAAAGAAACTGCTTCCCCGTGGTTTTAAAGTCACACTTTGTACTCTGAGATTCTCCTACCTCTTCTTGTCCCTGGACTTCTAAAAGGGATAGGGTTATTGGTCTAGACGTTTTCTGTTATTTAAAAATAATAATGTCCAGTTATAACCAAATAATTTAGATTCTCTTTGTGGTCATTAGAAGGTCATCCTCTTATTGATGCTCATAGACATAAAAATCTTTGGACATTTCTTCAGTATGTTTTTCTGAATAACTGTATATACCTTGAAGTATTTTATTTTTTAGATTTTAACATATGAAAGAATTTTACTTTCTTTTCAAATTATTATTTTCTGTAAGTTTTTTAGTGCCTTGTGGATTCAGTGAAAGAGAGGAAACATGAATGTTCGGAATGCTAAGGGAGATATTGTGTTAACAAATTTAATGGTTTTTCTTTCCCTTCTTCTTCCCTATTATTAGGATGTTTGTAAGCCAATTACAGACTCTCAAGTCATTGCTTGGGTGACCTGTGTGTTGCGTGATCTAAGCAGACTTTGTAGAGAAGTTGTTTATAACTTCACTCTTATAACACTTAGATCTGTAAAAGATTACATTTTGTTGTATCTGTCCTACTTGGAATCCTTGTAACGGGGATTATACCTTTTTTGCCTTTGAAACAGTGATGTTCGCTCAAAGGCATTTCAAGCTGTTGATCAATTTCTACAGATAGTGAAGCAATCCTATGAAAAGGTGTGTGTTTTAGAATTCTTAATTCGTTTGATTCTATTTTTCATATCTTTATGTAGGTGATGGTTGTGTATGTGTATCATTTTTTTGTTGGGGGGTTGTTGTTTGTCGGACACCTTGTGTATATGAAGTTTTCATTTAGTCGTGAATCAGTTTCTGTTCACATTCTATGATGCAACACTTGGTGTGTGAAGTTGGCCGTTACTGTCCATCGTAGTTTCATCATATGGCACGCCATCGTCTTATGCAGTTTCCATTGTGATTGTTTATATCAGTGAACATTTGTTGCAAATGCAAATATTATGTATAGATAGCGAAATCTTTAGGGAATAAGGCAAGAGGAAATTTCAGAAAACTGATGTTTTCTGCATTTATCTTTGCAACAATGTGTCATATTGATAATTTTTTTTCTTTTTCTTTTTGTTGTCCTCTGTAGACAAATTCTGGAGATACTGCTGGGGCTGCTGGTCTCGGGATCTCATCAATACCAGGAAATGCTAGTTTACTGGGGTAAGTTGACTTCTTTCTAAGAGCTTTAGTCTTGATGTATATTTTGCTGGGTTCTGTATTATTTATGTTACAAAGCTGTATATGATACTTTGTTGTTTCGGTAGTTATATAGACAGGATTTGAGAACAGTAACTTGTTTCAGATAAAGGGACTTATATATATCTTGAGAGATGCCATGGAATTTCCATAAATACCAATCTGTTACCTACCTCTCATATGTGCCTGTTTTGTAAATATACCGTGATGAAATTATATCCATACTTGGTGCTTGTCTTATCATCTCATTTGCCAAGTACTATATTAAATTGCATCTGCTCATGTGAAATTTTTCCTAGTGTTCTCTTGAAGTCAATAGCCAATGAAATGTTTAATTATCATGCAGATGGGCAATGAGCTCCTTGACTCTCAAGGGTAAACCTTCTGAACAAGCTCCACTTGCTCCTGTGAATATCAGTACATCTCTTACCGAAACGACTTCCAATGCAAGCTCAGGTACACATCTTGATAACTTGGATTCTTTAAATGTGTTTAGCTTGTTGGATATCTGTAGGCTATGGTTTTTTTTTTTTTTTCCTTTCCTTTTTTGGTAAATGCCACCCCCTTGAAAAATTCAAAATTTTCACATACATATGCCAAATTATTGCATCAATTGTTAGTCAAGTCAAGCTTATCATATGGTTTGGAATTTAATGTTTTATAGTGTATATATTATACAAAAGCGTCCATGCTCCACTAATTAGTCTGGCTAGCAATAAGTGTGATCAAAGATCTGAATTTTAACCAGATCCGGCCAAACTAAGAAGATTCAACAACCATGCGAAATAGAGCCATCGTTCCATATTGGAATCTCTTTCTTAGTCAGTTTAGGCATACTTGGATTAAGTTTTGAATGCGGGAGATCTAATATGCCAAGTTCGAAATTTGGTTTTTTAAATAATCAACTGCAAAAAATCGAAGTGGGGTTGTGTTCTCCACATCAATTTGGTTCCTTCCTCCAGTATATAAGAGATGTGGAACTATTTATTTCTTGGTTCTGCTTCTGTTGTTTGATTGCATTTCTCTCGTCATTCTCTTGTAATCCTAGTGGTGGATACTCCAAGCACAGCACCTGCCCATGCAAGTACCACACCAGATTTTGCGGATCAACATGTACCAGAGTCCCCTACATCGACAGATGGCTGGGGAGAACTTGAAAATGGAATTGACGGAGAGCATGAAAGTGACAAGGATGGTTGGGATGATATTGAACCTCTGGAAGATCCAAAACCATCTCCCGTTCTTGCAAGTATACAAGCAGCTCAAAAGCGGCCAGTCTCGCAACCTGTTTCACAGCCTAAACAACAAGGTAATCACTTTGTTCTGTTATGCGTTCGCATAAAGACTGAATGAATACAAAATATTGCAGAAACATATAGAAGTTTACTGGTTATAACTAAAAATGCAGTGTACTGTTTCTAAGGTGTGTTTCTGAACTCCAAATGTTATTAAACCAATGAGAATTGTCTTGAGGTGGATAAATCTAATATTGTTAAGGAGTATTTGCTTAATTTCCCATATTCCTTTATAATGGCCTACAAAGTGTCTGATAACCATAATATGTATTGGTAGAACCTTAACATTGCCTTTTTTTCCCAGTTCATCTTAGTTTGTAATGTGTCCTCCTTTGTTAATCTGGCATTTCATTATATATTTTTGGTGTGTGTTAATTGGAATATTTTGTGTGTTATTTTTTAGCAACAAGTTTGAGACCGAAAAACACAGCCAAGGCTATCAAAGATGAAGATGATGATTTGTGGGGCTCCATTGCCGCCCCAGCACCCAAAACAATTTCAAAACCTTTGAATTTAAAAACAAGTGGAGCAGTTGATGATGATGATCCATGGGCTGCCATTGCTGCTCCCCAACCTACCACCAAGGCAAAGCCCCTAGCAGCTGTGAAAGGTCGAGGAACCAAACCTGCTGCTCCAAAACTGGGTGCACAGAGAATAAACCGGACGTCTTCTTCTGGGGTGTAAATTATGCAAAAGAACAAGAGAAAATTATGGGTTAAGATAAAAGAAATTTGTGTAAATTTCCCCCCCCCCTTTTGGTGGCTGGTGTTCATGTTATAATAGGACATTTGGTGCCAACAGGAATTGCATTTGCACTTTCTCCAACTTGTTATTGATTTGTAATGATATTCTTTTGTTTGTTTCAGTTAGCACAGAAGCAGCCATCTGTCATGTAATTTCTTTCAAGTTCTTTCTTATGGTGTAAGATTAGGTGATATAGATGCAGCAGTAAACTGGCTATCAATTTTTGGGCCTGTAAATTTGGGATTTAATTTGTCACATTCTTGTAGTAGTCAAAGCCTTGGAATTTTTGTGTCTGACTCTGAACCCAGGGTTTAATTTTCCTCGTTTTAACTTTGCTTATGTAAGTTTTGTGCCCGATTCTGAACCCAAAATTGAGCGTTTATTTACTTATGGGCTCAAATGTGAACCCAATACTCTCAGCCCAAAATAGGCTTTTTGCTGGGCCTATTGACATGCAACGTCGCCTTTTTGCTATTTGGAAATGGCATCATAAAATTACATGTCTATGTGTTAATCTATATATATAAAGCAGAAGTAAAAGGAAGAGAATGGTTAAACATTCAAAATGTCAAAAAACGTCATTTGTTAATGCAAACATTAAGAATTGAAATTATTAATTTAATGAGGATAATATGGTAAACTCACATTTTTTCATATTAAAAAAATTAAAATTAAAAACAAAATCAGATAAAAAGTCATACTTTTATGGAACATAAATACCTATGTTATTTTTTCTTAATTCTAAAAATAAAATAAAAAATAAAAAATAAAACCAATTAGCACATACGTGAAGGGGCTAGTGTTTGTGAATTTTTAATCCGTTCAAGCTATAAACATGTACCCGCTCAAAAGAGAAAAACATACATGTAAGACCATCAAAGGTGAACTTATATTATATTATTGATGTTTATCTAATGAAGTATTTCTTTGATAAATAAATAATAAAATAAAATAAAAAAGAATAAAGGGGACCTCACATGTCTGAATAGATTGTGCTGTCCAAAATTGACCACAAATTAAAGCATTCAAAGATGTGTTATGCTTTTAGACGCAATAATGAATTGCAGATTGATGAGAGAAACGGGCCGCATTCAGTCCCAAGTTAAATCATGTGCTTGCTTAACTTGTGAACTTTGATGCGTTTCTTTTTTGATTTGTTATTTTTAAAAGCCGTGAACTTTGAAGCTTGAACATGCGCTGATGTGTCAAATTTATTTTAGAAAATAGCGGCTTTGTCGGTGCTTGTATAATTTGTGCAAAAAGCCCTCCTTTTAAAATTATTGCTAAATTACTCTCTATAAATACTTCATATCAGTTTCTTTTCCCCTTGGCTATTTTCTCCCAACCACTTGTCTCTATGAATCAGTGGCACTATGCTCCTCCCCCTCTCTCTCAACTGAATCGAAAATCCGACCCCGAAATAGTAAAGTTGTATATTGGGGTGTCTTTTATCTGTCGAAGAACTATTCATACCAACAAAAAAAAACTAAAAAGATTAGTAAAGGGGCTCGAAGGGGACAAGTGTGGAAACTTTAACAATTTATTATTACAATTGACGTTATTGAGTGCTAATTTATTTCAACATATATTGTGTTTTTATTTGAAAGAACCGTAAGTATGCCAAGTTTAACCATACTGTAAAAGCATCCACAATCATGCTCTCTATTTTTTACTTAAGTTTAACTAAAAACATATAAACGTTATTTTAGAAGCTCTCTATAAAATTTAAACTTCAATCATGCTCTCTAGTTTAGGGAGTCATAAATGTTATAACTCTTTTTTAATTGGTCCATCTCTATTAAAAAAATAATATAAAAATTAATTAACATTAATTAAAATGTTGAAATACTCATTAAATAAAGCAGCATTAAATTATAGGAAGTTACTAGGAGTCATTTCTCTCTCATCAAATTTAGAAGCTCCTAGAGGTCTCCCCATTTTAGGAGGTGAATAGGGAGCATGGTCGGAGTTGTATGTTTCCAACTCTTCCTTCAAATCTGTCTAAGGAGGTGATTTAGGGAGCCTATTATGGATGCTCTAAGGAATGTACTTGTTGTACAAAACCATATTTACTCCATATGCATAGCTTTACTTGAATTAATACATTTCTCACTTGTATTGATTTATGTGTAACTTTAATTAATACATGCACACTTGAATTGATTCATGCTTTAATATTCCTTTGTTGCTGCATTTGTACCCATACGGGGCCCGTTGGTGGTGTTGATGCTTAAAAATGTACGATCACTTTTAGGCCCAACTTAGAGATATTGTGTTACCTTCGGCCTCTTTGACTTTTCGGCATATAAGGATGATCTGCAAGACAAAGAGTAGTGATAAGACTTTGGACACCGGTGTGGTATCGACTGAAGGCACTCCGGTGCTTAAGGTAGCTTAAGGACAGAGTAAATAGCAATTTGGACAAAGTAAGGGTTAAGTAGTCAAATGTAATAGTTACCTTATTTTGGGGGCTTGTGTCCTTATTTATAGATCTTGGAGGTGTGCACCTTGAGTGATATTTTGATGTGAGACTATGAGCATCGCTTGAAAGGCTGCCACATGTCCTTTGTCCAACCTGGTGTAGCAGACGCCTTCTTTAGCTTGATTAGTATGTTAGGTTGACGAAGGCTTATCTTGCCGATTGTTTGTTTACAGGCTAAGATGCCGAATGCTCACTCTGCCGATGTTCTGTTTATGAGTTTTAGTGTTTTGACAGAACTACGTGTCGCAAAATGCTTAACCAATTAAATATGGTATAAATAGGTGTCCTCGTATTTAATTGGATTATGCTCTTCATTGGTAACTCATTTCTTGGATCGACGTCCCTTGACATGAGATTTTGGTGACTCTAGATACGCGTGCACATCGTTTGAATTCATCCAAGATAAAACAATTGGCGATATATGCACACTAATATGGCGCCATCATATAATGGTATGAGGTATGAGGATGAAGTGAAGAAGACAATGAAGAAGCAAAGAGACAAGTGGCTCGGAGAAAATATGGAAGGCTGAAAAAAGTGATCTGTGGACAATATAAAGTAATTATAAAGGGTATTTTAGCAAGAATTTCAAAAGGATGGAATTTTTGCGCAAATTGTGTAAGCGAGGTGCAAAGCCGCCTATTTGACTTTATTTGTTCACTTCTTCAGTAGCAGCAACTTGCACATTTTGTGTGGACTAAATTAGAAAAATAAAAATAAAATTGTTGTGCTACCATTCCGATCGCTGTTATTTTTTCCATATTGTCCTATTTCTTTACTCACCTTATCTTCTCACCCACCATGTAAAGTTGAAAAAACACAATCCTACCTACCATTATTCTTACAATACCCATTATTCCATTGAAACCTCTCATCTTTGTTCTCTCTTTCACCGGAAATCGTCGCTTTTCATTAGACTTCCAAGACCAGCCAAGAAAACGTCGAATTTTATCATGAAAATTGAGCCAAAAAAACAAACAACCCAAAAGCTCAAACAAGAAACGAAAGCTGAATTATTTCTTCTTGTTGAGAGAAAGAAATAATTCCGAAGAGTTGAGATTTCTCGAAGATGAAAGCGAAAATGAAAAATATGAATAAAACGTCTTTTGAGTCTTTGAAAATTTAATTTATCTTACTGCGTCTGTGTCTACATGCGTTATGTACAAAATAATATATAAAATTTGATTAGTAAAGAAAATTTGCTTGAATTAATAATTAAAGGGTATTTTATGAATAATAGTGGAAAGATAGGATTGTTTTTTTTTCAAATTTACACAGTGAATAAGAAAATATCATACAGGATAGTTTGCCTAAGCACTCGATATATATTACCTTAAGCACAATAATTTCCAAATAGATTATATAAACAGGAGCGTATGATATGTGCGATTGCAGATTTCCTATAAAAAAACAGAACCAAATAAAAAAGAATAAAGTTAAAAATATGTGACTGTCAACCTTCATAAAGGGGGAACTAGATGATTTTTTGCCATCAAAGGAAGCTTTAATTGCGGATGAGATCTTCAAAAAATACGAAACATTTAATACTTTCCAAAACTTAAAATCAGGATAAATCTGTTTAATGATATTATTAATAATTAGTGTAGGACCCAAATTAGTAGTGGGTGTGCCTCCGATGTTTATATAGGATAGGCTGTTTTGACTCTCTTTTGTGCAACAGTGCACAGTCCCAGAACTGAAATGCCTGCAAATGAATGACCAGCAAAAGATTGAAACTTTGAATAATTTGCTCACTTTGCAACCGAAAAAAGAGGAAAAGGTGATGTTTTGAGATATACCCATGTCACACTTATTTTCACTTATATTTTGTTTGCTCTGCAACTGCACATAGTTATCCTATCCCGACGACATATATAGAAAAGAAACGGAAAAACCCAATTATTCATGTTCATCGTCTCTCTCCCTCTGTTTTGTTTTTGTTTTTTAATCTGTCAAATATTAATAGGGGTATTGCGGATTCCACAGAGTATAGCAAGTTGGGATAAAATGGGTGAGCCTTTTCCAATCCCAACTGTCCTTGTATGTGCAAGTAGTTGTTGGGGATGGGACCAACTGACCCATTCTGCAGTGCACCTCGTCTGTAAATATCTCAGGATAACCCATCAACATCATTCATAATTTCTTGCCTGCCCTCGTAAATTTCCACACTCTTTTGGGGCTTTTTTCTTAGCCCAGACTTTGTTTCCTATGATGGTTTTATTTTTGGGTTTATCTAAATTCTGGATGCTTCTCACTTTGTTTTTATTAGGCTTTTGATTCGGTTTTATTGTTTTTAGTTTCTATATTTATTTAAACTTGCAGTAAAATATGCAATCAAAGTAAATACCTGAATTGTCAAATTTTTCACTTTTGGTAAAATACTGAGAAATACACCACACACAGAGGGTAGAGAGAGAGAGAGGGAGAGAGAGAGGAGGTGAAGCAAGGTCTTGCACACTCAAGGTTAGGTTACTTTCCTGTTAATACAATCTGATCACACTGGTTCTGAAAGTAAAGTTCTTTGCTTGTTGCTTAATTTTATAGTTAGTACTATGCACTGTATGTTTTATTAGGCAATCTCTCCGTCTCGCTCTCTCTCTCTGGTTAGTTTAACAGTATTTTGTTGGTCTCTAGAATCACTGTTCTGAGTCAGGGTGGGAAGGAAAAGATCCTAAGGTAGGTTTCCCCAAAACAACGGGTGAAAAAAGGGGATTTACCAAGTGGGTGCATTTACGTAAAACGTAGAATTGACTGGATGAGATTTCTATTCATGGTTGACGACCGGAAAATCTTCTACCACTCCATGTGGCTTTTCTTCACCGAGAATAAGGTGGGTAATTTTGGATGGGGATTCACCAAATATAGTCTGGCCATGGATTCAAAGTGAGCAAGGTTTAGTATAAAACTGTAAAATTGAGTTTCAAAACAGTGGGTTGGAGTAGCAGATAACTCCTTGTGGGCCTGTGCTGTTAAAACTGTTCATATCAGTGGGGCTGCTGAGAACTGGGATTTGTTTTGTTAGAAGTGAAAATGGCAGTATGATTACTATTCTTGTCCATCAAAGACTTCTGAGTTTTCTTCCGTGTGTAATTATTTCGTAGTATCTTTCATATCTCACGAAGTAAAACCCTAATTACCATTCTACTAAATTTACAATCGCATTTAATTCTTATTCGTTTTTAAACTGCCATTTATTGCGTCTTTGATATTATGGATTTCAGAGATTTCTCATGGTCTAACTGAACTTTGTTGCCTTTTCGTTCATCAATAGGTCAGCAATTCAGAGGTGTCCAATTATTGAATTGTGGAGCAAATCACCATTGAAATCTTCGCACGCTTCACTGAGTTCAGCTTCTTTGGCGTTCTCTGGGTCTGTTTATTTTTGCTCTTGCTTACCTCTGTGGTCTGACGAATCTGCTTCCCATAATTTAGCTCACCATCAAAGAAGCTGTTACTGGTAACCCACTATTGAAATAATTTAGATCCAAGTCCCAAGAACAATTCTGGACAGTTGATAGTTTCAGACCAGGTGTAGCATAAATCAACAGGAGGAGTTTGCTAGATTACTTGTTTCTCTTCTTCCAGTGGGCTATATTTTGGATAGTTGAGTCAAACAAGACTACATAGATGACCGTGGATGAAGCAGGTAGTAGCTCCTTGTGGAGTCGAGAGCAGGATAAGGCATTTGAGAATGCTCTGGCAACTTATCCTGAGGATTCTTCAGATCGGTGGGAAAAAATTGCAGCTGATGTACCAGGGAAAACCATAGAGGAAATAAAACATCATTATGAACTCTTAGTTGATGACATAAACCAGATCGAAGCTGGTTTTGTGCCACTGCCTTGCTACAATTCTTCTTCAGAGGGTTCGACAAGCCATGCCAGTGACGAAGGAACTAATAAGAAAGGTGGACATTCTGGAAACTACAGCAGCGAATCTAATCATGGAACTAAGGCTTCAAGGGCTGATCAGGAGCGCCGAAAGGGGATTGCTTGGACAGAGAAGTATCTAAATGAAGCTAAAGATTTGTTATTCTTTCCAGTCCACATCTTTTTTGTTTTTATAATTAATAGTAGAAATACTTTTGGGATAACTTTACTTAATTTTTACAAGGAGTTTCATCCCTGGTGCAACTTTATGATCTTAAGTGTGTTTGTCCAACAATTTTTTCTGAAGTTGCTTTATGGTGATGATAGTTGGTAAACTGTATTGAAGAACTTCCATATCAAAATTATTCCATTTTTGTTATTTCTATCAAATCCATGGCATGTTTCAATAATTCAGTATTAGTCTTCAAGCTCATATCCAGTAGGGTATAACTGTTGTATTATAATCTTGAAGGATAATGGCATAAGTGAAGAAAACATGGTTTTGTCATATTTAAATGCATGTCTATCATGGCAGTCGACTCGGCTTATCCAAAACAGGACTTGGTATAGCACAACCTTTAGGATAGGTTGCCTGAAATGAGAAACCGTTAGTTTATATGCATGTAGGTTCCTTTGATCTGAACTTTTCTTTGGGATTTGGTGACTACTGATGGATCACCTGTATCCTAATATAATGATTTTGGTATATGCCTTGCCTCAGCTATTGGCATATTGCACTACTACATTGGGTTGGGCTAAATATTTAGAAACTAATGGTTCTCTACTTGGCACTGGCATGAAGTGACTGGGAACTGCCGCACCTGCTTGACTCAAATTGTGATTGGCTGGTAATTATTTTAGCAGAAATATGTGATCCGTAGATTTAGATCTGAACAGTAATTGTGTTCATCATAAAATGGTATATTTATGGAAGTATAGAACTAAGGTGTCAAATTAGCTATAATTTGCCTATTTCTGGTTGGCTTTAGGGTGGGAACTTGTCTTTTTGTACTCCTTTCCTTTTCTTCTCCTGTTTACAAGTTGTGTCTTATGTAAGTAAGAAATTATATAGGCTGAACTTTGAACTTGAGGTTTTGCTCTTCCTCAGAATTGGATATACTAGAAAATCATCATAAGTCAATGAGTGCATGATTTATTAGTTTTAGTACTTTTCTGATCTAGTGTTTTGATTGCCCTCTCCTTTCTCAACAGTTCTTTTGCAAGTGCGTGTTTCTTTTCTCCCCACTACCAAAAAAATGTTTCTTTAGGCTAGGCCGTGTTGTCCAAAATGTGAGGTTTTTAAGAATGAATGAAAAATCCATATCCAAGTCTGTTCAGAGTCTTTTCATTTAAACCAGCTGATCATGTTCGCAGACTTGTGCCCTGATCTGATCCTAGGACATATGTAAGCCATATGTGGTATGATTCCAGTTCTTGTTATCCAGACTGCCATTTTTTCTCTCTTTAAATGAAAATTCAAACAGTTGTGCTTGACTTGTATATATCAATAAATTTATGTTTATTAATAATGCTTGATAAATTTTCTTTCTTCAGTTTTTAAGTAGGCATTTTGGTAGTGTTCATCTTTTGTTGTCACCTAGGTTCTTATTATAGGGTAAAAATTGAAAGCTTATGTTTCTGGTGAGGGCGTTGACCCCTCTTGTGAGTCTCCAACATAGGGAATCTCAACCAAATTTTCCTGATCGTGTTCCATTTCTTTTATATGGTTCCAAGTTGGCCAAGTGTGAAACTTTCGCGACTGTTAACTTCACTGGCTTATCTAATGGAATGTGGTCCTTTTGCCACAACTTCCTCAACACGTCCTGGACACTGCCATCTTAGACCAACCTTGCAATGTTTTCTGACTCTTTGCTTCTGAGAGATTTTTAAAAAATAATGACCATTGCCGGTGCAGTCAAAGTGTCAGTTTTCTTGATCGTTTAATAGCCGCATTAAGCTTCACAGTGTTTTTTCAGCTATGCCTTCCGAGCTGATCTTATTCGTGCACCCTAACTTACATGAACAATTTTGGATTTCTTTCTCAACTCTGGAGCCAAAAATGAAATGTGGATATTGATTATGAAACTTTGTATTAAAGTTTGAACTTGCAGAGGTCAATGTTGACCTTTTACAGTTGTTGCAGTTATTGTTCATTAACCCTGTTCTAAATACAAACTTAATTGAGAAAAGTGAAAATTTGTTGCCTGCATAGATGATTTCTGAAATAGACTGAAGTAGTATTATGTGCCAAATATATTCATGACTTGCAAGAGATATATTTCTGTTGTAATTTACAGTTTGGGAGTTACAGTCATATTAACTGTGGTTAAAAATCTAATACTCTTTTAAGAAGGATGGTTGCAATGTTTAATGATATCAAACACATATTGTGTCCTATGAAAAACATCCATTGTGATGGTATTTTCTTGGTTGTGAGTTCTCTGTTGTACTTGAGAACAAGTTCTTATGTTTTTTTTTTCCTGTTCTTGTTCCATGACAGGCTATTTCTTCTTGGTTTGGAGAAATATGGGAAAGGTGACTGGCGAAGCATATCTCGGAATTTTGTGGTAACAAGAACTCCTACGCAAGTGGCAAGCCACGCACAGAAGTACTTCATACGTTTGAATTCAATGAACAAGGACAGAAGGAGATCAAGCATTCATGATATCACCAGTGTCAACAATGGAGACATTTCATCACCTCAAGGGCCAATAACAGGTCAAGCAAATGGTTCTGCAGTAGGTTCTTCTGGCAAATCAACCAAACAATCTCCTGCTGGGCCTCCAGGGCCAGGGGTTGGCATGTACGGTGCACCGACTATAGGACAACCGATTGGAGGACCCCTTGTATCAGCCGTCGGCACACCTGTGAATCTCCCTGCAGGGCCTCCACACATGGCATATGGTCTGAGAGCCCCCGTACCTGGAGGAGTTGTTCCGGGGCCACCAATGAACATGGTTCCCATGACATATCCAATGCCTCACACTTCTCATAGGTAATGTGATATTTGGCAGTAGCAGCAGCAGCAGCTTCAGAATGTAGTGTACAAAGAACAGAGACCACCACCCTTGTAGCTTGTGCTCGATGTTGGGATTTTAGGATCATTTCGCTCTGAGCCTGCATGTTTTAGGTATTAGCAAAGCACAAGTTGTTGAATGTTTTACCATTACTAGTCTATTCTTGTACGAAATAAGCCATTTCTATATGGGGGAAGAATTACATGAATGTGTATAGGCGGCAATTGGGAAAAAGATGGCGATATTTATTGGCAGGTAGAAGTCCTAGTATTTGTTTTGTCTTTGATGGAAATCGTTTGAGCATTGGAAGGCAGTGAAGAGCTGTTGTAAGGCAAAACTTGTGGAGGGACGCTTTGACATTTGAAATATTATTTTGGGTAGCAATAGCACATCGTTAGCATTGATGTATTGTAGAATTTGTGTCATAAATCCAGTATTCTTTGACTGCCATGCCATCTTTAACAAAAGGCTTTAAGTTTTCACAGGATAGTAAAAATATCGCATGTGAAGTGAAGTGACTACATCCCCCATCTTCCCTGGTTGGTGTTCTCTTAAGTGACGGCCTCCATCTGTTTGATTGATATAGGTTTGTTTTTAATTTTTTTTGTTTTTTTTGGTTCAGTTGAAAGACAGAAGCAGTATTGGGGTAGGGAATTTGAACACAATATCACTTAGCCTACAATGAAGCTCCTTGTTCATTGATTTAGTCTAGTTTTTTTGTTTTGGTGGAGTGTTTGTGTGGGTTGATGATCTTGTTTTGGTCATTGCCTGGGTTTAGGGCCTTTTTTTGTGTTGCTGCTTTCTTCTTCTCAGGCATTTTTTGAACTGGCATTTGGGGCCTTGCCTTTCGGACCCAAAAAAGAAGAACGAAACAAAATTTAATCGAGTTAAGCAAAAATAAAGGTTGTTCCTTTCATATGAACATTTGACTTGGCGGCAATGTCTGCAACAGCAGCAGCTGGAGCAACACCACACCCCTCCTCCTTCCCTCACTTATTCACAAATTCAATCATAAAATCAAGGCACTCCATCTCTGTCACCCGTAATTCAATAAACCCTAGCTCCCCAAATACCCCCAATCCCACTTGGACCGCCTCTGAGATCGCCGACGCTGTCAATGGCAGGATTGTGAAATGGGGTCCTCCTGGAACCGTTTCTACAGACACCAGAACCCTTCAGCCCAACCAATGGTTCTTCGCCATTGCCGGTCTAAACTTCGACGCCCACGATTTCATAACCCCGGAATTATCCCGTAATAAAGGCTGTGCCGGAGTTATCGGCAACCGGGTTTGCGAAAATTGGGACAAGGGCTTCGTTCAATTCGATGGCAATACTGTAATTTCATTGACGAAGATGGCAAGTTATGCGAGGAATAGGTTCCATGGAGAAGTGGTGGGAGTGACCGGGAGTGTGGGTAAGACTAGCACAAAATGCATGATAGCTTTGGCTCTTCAAAATCAGAGTTCAAGAGGTTTGGTTCTTCATGTTCATCAAAGTCATGGGAATTGGAATAGTGAAATTGGGGTGGCTCTGTCGCTAATTGGGGTTCCTGCAGGAACTGGGATTGTGGTTTTGGAGATGGGAATGAGTGGGAAGGGGGAGATATTAGAGCTTGCGAGGATGGCTCGGCCCACTATCAGGGTCATTTTAAATGTGGGCGCTTCCCATTTTCAAAATTTCTCCAGTTTAGAGGAGATAGGCATGGCCAAGGGGGAGATTTTGGCCGAAGCAAAGCCCGGGGATGTTTGTGTTTTGAATGCTGATGATCCACTTGTTATGAACCTCCCTGTACCACTTGGTGTAAAAAAGGTGACCTATTAATATGATTACCCTTTTCTTCTTCTTCTTCTTCTTCTTCTTCTTCTTCTTTTTTCCCTTTTTCTGTGTGCCATTACTAAATTGGTTTGTTTGTTGTTTCTTGCCATAAGCAGGTGCTCTTTGGTCATAGAGTGGGGTGTGATGTTCGGTTGGTAGCGTCAGAAAGCACGGATGGAGGTCTTGGAGTTAGAGTTGTCTTACAGAATCATCAAGAGATGTAAGCCCCTCGTAAACATTTCTCATCTGATATGAAATAGAAAACATTGTGAAATCTTCAGTGTACCTTGTTAATACCATGAAATATGATGATTCTTTCTTGTTTACATAAATTTTATCGAAAATATTGGACAAAGAGCTTTGTAGATCATCACAACCTGTCAGATATTTCATTGCATATCCATTGCTTTTTGGTCGAGTCGCGTCGCTGCTGTTTTCATCAAGACATGCATTGAGTGCTCTCCTGCTCAAACGTATCATTGAAATGGTGGTTTCCTTTTGCAGGGTAGAATTCGTGATAGCTAGTCCAGGTTTGCATTTGGCTCTCAATGCATGTGCAGCAGCAGCAGTTGCGACCCTTTTGGGAGTCTCTCTTTCTGAAATTGGAAATCGCCTGTCAGCATTTTCTCCTGTTCACATGAGGTCGGAGCTTGAAGTTGGTAGAAATGGAATGAAAATAGTGAATGATGCTTACAATGCCAATCCTGTGAGCACCAAGGCTGCCATTGACTTACTAGAGAGTATTGATATTGATTGCGGAGGCAAAAGAATTGTCGTGCTTGGCGACATGTTAGAACTTGGTGCAATTGAGTTGGAGTCTCACAAGATGATTCTGAAGCGCTGCTGTTGTAGTGCTCATATTGATTTAGTTGGGCTTGTTGGGAGGAGGTTTTGTGCAGCTGCTAAGAATCTCAACTTGCTTGAAGACAGAAATATTGTGTATGCTCTTGACTCGGGAACTTTTGCACAAGAAATTGTGAAGAGGGTTATTTATAATGATGTTGTTTTGGTAAAGGGTAGTCGAGCAATGCAAATGGAGAAAATTGTAAATGCAATTAAAGCAATGGAATGTTGATGATTGATTGTCCAGTCCAGTCCAGTCCAGTCCCCAGTCCATACCAAAGGAATGTTGATTTGCTTGTTACTGAAAGGCAGGATGCAAGCACTTATACATGGTAATTATTTCATTGTTGCGGCAGGTCAGATCAGATCCCTCCAAAAAATTTCTTATGTTTCCTATTTCAATTTTCATGGATGGTTTGGTGACAGATGTTGTGGTGTCAGCAGGAGGACCTCGTCGATCGGGGCTCAAATACTTGTCTAAACTTGAAAAGCTCCATTCCCTGTACTAGGAATCCTAAATTATTGTTGGACGTAATGTAATTGGCAAATCCTTCAGTCATTCAAAACATCAAAGTAGAAAGTTTTATAAATAAACAACATAAAAGTTGTACGTTCACTGGATATATTTTTGGTGTTTCCGACAACTTGGTGCTGTTGTGAACATCATAATTTCTCCAGTTTATAATGTCTTGGTTGGATCATCAATGCAATTGTCAACTTTGAAGCTCAAAAACGTCATAAGATGATGTAGAAAAGCTGAAATAAGATGTTACACTACTAGTAATAATTGAAAGCACGAGGCCTGGTTTTTGGTTTGGTTTGGTTATAAAGCTAGAAAATGAAAATAGCATGAAAATGCATGTGGGTGGGGAATGGGAGCTGATGCGTCTTTGACGTGTGTTCCCCTTTTCTCCCAAACACAAAAGTTGGAATATCCAATTATCTCCCCCACACTTTTTGCTTGCCTTTGCCTTGCTTTCCTATGCTTAGGATGAATGGATGGGGATCTTGGATTTTGGAAACAAAGGTGAAGATCATATATTTATCTCTCTCTCTCTCTCTCTCTCTCTCTCTCTACTTTTCCTCCTAGCCAGTCTTGTTTTCTTTCTTTCTTTCTTTTTTTTCCCTGGAAAGGGAAGGGAACCAAACATACACCTGACCTGAGATTGAAATTTGAAATATAAAAAAAAGGTGGCTTTTGAGATGATAAAAAGGAAGGAATTAATGCCAAATGGACGATGACTCTAGTCCAGATAAGCATACACGCACTTGCCCTGTCAAAGATGTGATGTGACAAGGCTAAGGCTAAGGCTAAGGCTAAGGCTTTGTCTTTTGACCAATTAACACGCTTCACTGGAATGGAATGTAGGCGGTGGGGATATGTGGTGGATGGATGGTGGCCCTCCTCCTTGTCCAACTGCCGCCACCTTTTCTTGCAACTGCAATTTCTGTGAATCAAAGTCTTCCCCAAAAAGAAAGAAAAAAAAGCTGTCAGCTTCTCTTAAACTGTTAGCAGCACATTGCATTCCCATTCCCTTGGAAGTTGGAGGTTGGTTGATGGACAAAAGCTTACTCACACTCACAGGAGGCAATTGGTTTTGATGTACTAGTAATCTCAGATAGCTATTAGCTAAGCTGATACCAGTCTCCAACATCATCATCGCTATATCTATCTATATGTTCATCTAAATCTCATCTGTCTTAATGCCTTGGCCTTCATTAGCATGTGATTTGGCTCATGTCACAAATACTGAAATCTCTTTTCCCTTTGCTTTTTCCCTTCCTCTTATCTTATTAGAGGGCGTGGTCGTGGTGGCATCACAAAGCTAAATGGCCAGCTCAAAAGGTTTCAACGACACATCATCATACACTACTACAGTTAGACTATGAGAGAGAGAGAGAGAGAGAGAGAGAGAGAGAGAGAGATAATACGCAACTAACGCATGCTGATGCTGACTTGTTCATTTCTTCTATGATTGAAAAGCCTTCCCAACCCAACTAATCAGGACAGGATACTGTTTCTGCTACGTACTTTCTTTTTCATTTCTTTCTTTTTTTGTAATCCTTGGGCTTGGGTCGGCCAATTTGCAATGCCTTGGCAAATATAGCAAACTGCCCTATACTCTTGATCAAACAAGGGGATGCTGAAATGTCTTTTCTTAAAGCAACCAAGGCAAAGATACCATCTTTCCCATTATCTTTGTTAAAATATTATCTTTAAGAGTCTACCTGTGCCTTTATTCTCAATTGATGAGCCATACATGACTCATGCAACATAAAGTTGAAGATTCACGTACTATTTTCATCCCTTTAAATACATATATATAAATCTATCTATATATGCAAGCATACATACCTCAGTGCTAAGCATCACACACTTCCTTTGTTTTCTGATACTGCATATACCTAACTTAGCTACCCTACTCGCTCTTCACAAGTCAAGTTATTCTAGCTATAACTGAATTAATTCATTTTTCTACTTGCTCATCAAATATGAAGGCTTCACTTCAAGTTCAAGTTCAAGGACAAGTTATTGGAATTCCAATCAACTCAGCAGCATACGCCTTTGAGAGCTCGCCAAAGAGACTTCTGCCTGATCCTGCTATTCAATATCCTGAAACTGGGCCTTCAAAACTGAGACCAAGTAAATTCTTTTCGTGGTTTTTTACCCCTTAAATCCATTCATTGGATTGTGTAATTCATTAACTAATGATATATTCCATATA